ATTGCTTATTACTTTTACTCATTCAGAGTTCTTTCAGGGAGTTAGGGAGATGGCTGCCAGGCATAGCTGTGCTCACCACAAACTAGATGGGTATGCAGAAGCCTGGGGGCTTGCTGACCAGCCCAGCCTGGAGGCAGTAGCTGCTCTCCAGATGCAGCAAGTGACCCTTTCTCAAAAAGTAAGTAATTGAGGAAGACACCAGATGTTGACCTCTGTCTTCTACACACACACAGCAAACACGTGAACTCGCAAACATCCACATATGAATACCCACCCCACTCCCACTAATGAGTTCTTTCCGTTTTGTTGTTCTGTTCCTTTGACAAATCATGCCGGTGTGTTTAGGTTTGGGGTTTTTCTTTTCAGTGTTCATAAGTTACTAGCTCACCCTGTATATTTTTCCTTCCATTCCTAAAATCGGGTATTTCTCAATGCTTTCTGGTTCCTTTTATTCTTGAAAATCCTAAAAGCGTAGTGTGGGCAATAGGTATCCATATTCTTATAATTCTGAATTTCCAGTACATGTGAAATCTCTGAATTTATTTAGATCTTAAGATTTTGTCTGTCTGTTTTTCAGATTTCCTCCTTGAGGCTCTTTACAGATCTGTTAGATTTCTATCCGTGTCACAAGGTGGGGTGAAGAGTTCTTAATTTCAAGATCAGCCTGTACATTGCTCGAACATAGATCAGCTGGATTTTCCTAAAGTTTTGCCGTAACTGCTGATTAGTGAAATGAGGATTTAAGAAACTTTTTTATGTGATAGACAGCAACACCATCTATAATTTCCTTTCCTTTCCATTTCTTACTGTATTTCACTGGGTAGGACTTTTGGGCATGTCTTATGCACACAAGCACTTTTTAATACTTATTCTTTTCTCAACTAATACTTTTTCAAGAAGTGTTCCTTTCTTGAACCATTTTATTTAATTTTTCATTTTGTTTTCATATTTTATCATTTAAAACTGTATCCAGGTTTATTTATTCTGAAATATTGGCTTATGGATTCATCCATTTATCTGCTTCATTGTTTGTTTTGTATTCTGGCACCTATAAATGGTGCCAGAATCTGACCAATCCAGGCTGAAATTAAAATACACACAAGTGTCACTCTGCCTGCCCTCCCTCCACCTACCACTCTCAACTTACTCAGACTTAAAATCATAACTGGATTGACAAAAATAAATTTTTTTAGTGCTCAATGTGGCCAAACATATGGAGGAACTCATAAAGTGCACTTATTACCATGTTTTGTGTCCTAAAATTCTGTGCTATCTGGAGCCCTCTCCTTACTATGCAATCTGCAGTCCGGCTTGACAAACTGGTTGCCAATTGTCTGGAATCGGTACACAGATATTATTTGTTTAGGGTGTTCAATATTTATTTGTGATTAAATCACATAAACCTTATTTTTTCTGTTGATGTATGCATGCATTTAAGGCATACAAGACACTCTGAGCTACATATGAATAGTAAAATGGTTGCTATGGTGAAACAAATTAACATGTCTATCACTCACAGTTAACCAACTATTGTTTCCTTTGTGATGAGAGCCACTAAAACATACTTCATTGGTATAGAAATAATCTACAGAACAGCTCTGACCTACAGCCCTCATGTTCCACACGTGTTCTTTAGATTTATACATGCAACTCTAACTCACATCTTCCTCAACCTCTCCTGCACTTCCCCTTCCTGATAACTGCTGATTTATCCCCTATTTCAGTGGATTTGAATATTATTTTCCATGCATAAGTGCAAACACTTACCTGTGTCTAACTTATTTCACAGTACAATGTCTTCTAAGCCCATCCATACTTACGAAAATGCCAAGATCTCATTTTTTTTTTCAGGACTAATAGCTCATTATATATGCTTATTTAACAGTTTCTTAATTTGTTCAATTGCTGACACTGACAGATACAGGTTTCCCTATCTTGGTGACGAGGAATGCTACAAAGAACATAGGCGTGCCCATATCTAAGAGGCAGTAATATAATTTTCTCAGTTTTATGTATATAGTTCTATTTTAAACTTCTCCAGAAACTCTTATGTTATTTTCTATAATGGCTCCTCCATATTTTAAAAAGCAAAACAGTGTCAACACTAACAAACCAGATTTCACACAAATTCAAGTTCTGACTGCTCTTTTAAGACTTAAGGTCTGGGGCCATATTGCCACTTGGAGCTTGTACTCTGATTAAAAAGGAAACGCCCTCCCAGGCTTCCCTGCAGATAAATTCTCTCATTACATTCCTGATCCTACAGATTTTATAGGTTTGTGACCCATGGAAACCTCTTATATTGGCTCAAAGCACAAACATACTATTGGTTGTAACATCTGTTTCTATTTAGATTCCATATATACATAATATTTTTATATATTATATATAAATATATATATATTTAAATCCAAACTTGCTATAGTTTTCTTTTATACACAATTTCCTTCCAATGTTCTCTAAATTACCCAATTGAAAGAATTATATTTCTACCATTGTTCAAATTAAAAACATCTTTAGAGCTCTTCTTCCTTCTTCTACCAATTGCTTTTAGTCAGTGTGTAAAGCCATCACGTTTTTGTCTTTGTTTCCACTGTTATTTTTCTTTTTTATATTTACAAACTGTTTATATTCCAAGATGGAGCAAAATTACAAGCTCTCTGAAACTATGTGCTCAAGAAATATTCACTTGTTTCTTTATGTCTATAGGCCTCTTAAGTATGGATTCACTTCTGGATCTTTAATTCCTTTAGGCTAGACATAAGTAGTTAGTCATTATTGTATAAAATCTAAAACAAACACAATGAACTTTTTAAAAATGTGTTAAATAAACATGAGGTTTATAAACCAATGACTGCTTCACATCACATGGCCTTACCTCAGACTTTTAATATGCTTTTGTCTTTGGCTAAACTGCAGTTATGTTTTGTTTTTTTAAAGATTTATTTATTTATTTATTTATTTATTTAATGTATATGAGTGATCTGACTGCATGTAAACCTGCATGCGGGAGATCCTAGTATAGATGGTTGTGAGCCACCATGTGGTTGCTGGGAATTGAACTCAGGATCTCTGGAAGAACAGACAGTGCTCCTAACCACTAAGCCATCTCTCCAGGCCCTAAACTGCAGTTTTCTTACTGGTACTTTTTCTTTTTTTCATACTTTGGAATGATTTTGCAATTACAAGATCAAATAACCAAGTCAAAATCAGTGACATCATTAAAATGAGGATTTTCTCATTACTTAAAAATTCTTTTAAATATCGAGGATACTAGGCATCACCTCTAAAAATGTATCATTATTTATAAGACAGATCCCACAGGGGCAACTGAACAGCTGCTGAAAGATCTGGCAGCCACTATGCCAGCCTGAATTTAATGACCTACATGTGAAGGGCTCCATATCCAGTTACTAATCCTCCCTCTGCTACTCTCTGCCCTGATATGGAGGCAGCTGAAAAAAGATGCCCTACTAACAGCTCATAAATGGATCCAGATCTCACTGCCAATGCTCAGCTAACAGAAATCATTTAGATCTGAGAGATCCTGGCTCACATACTTTTCCAAATAAAATCAGAGAGTTTAAGAAAGAAAGACCAGTTTTGTTTGTTTTTTCACTAAATTCAGAGATGTTTCAGTTTATTTAAGAGTCTTTAACATGTTCAAAGGTCAAGTGACAAGAAAAATCTACATCATGGTCCTTTCAATATTGAAAGGGCAAACTTTTATTGAAAGACTTAAAAACAGGTTTATCTTCAAATTCTACAAGTCATCAGTCAGAAAGGAAAAAAAAAAAAAAGTCAGTCTATACATTGCTTCCCTCACTTGACTTGGTCTGTATTTAGCAAGATGATATAAGGTCAAGTACTACAAACGATGAAATATCACTAGTTCTGCAAAATAGCATAGGATGGAGTGTGAACTGTGTATTTTACTAAGAACACAAAAAAAACGTTAAAATCCCGAACTTCAATGCATTTTTATTAACAATTTTACCTTAATTTTATTTTTTTCACTTATGAAAGACCATGTGATATTGGTATCGTTTCCTACGTAAACTAGCAATAATTTGGGCAATAGTAGGCCATCCTCTCAACACAGAAAAAAAGGGCATTTCGCCTGTTCCGCACTTTGACCTCTGTAAGCGGGGCTATCTTCGTCTCGAGACCCAAGCTTATCGATGACTGAAAGCCCTTGATAGGGAAAAACACCTCGTGGCAGCCTCTACGCTCTCCCACAAACCCCGGGTCCTGACTCCACCCCCTACACGCCCCTCCTCTTTCTCCACCTAACTCTGGAATTAGCGCAGTTCGATGACGTAGCCGTAAAAGCGCCGTCACCGGGCGTGCAACCACCGCCTCTGACTCTGGGAATTGAAGTTTCGGGAGGAGGCTGACGCGTGGAGGCGAGAGCACGTCAGGACGACTTTCCGACAGCAGCCTGGCAGTCCCCGTGGGCCGCGAGGCTTGGTAAGTACGGAACTGCGGCTGTCGCGCCCTCGCCCTTTGGTCTCCTTCAGGAGGCTGAAGGAGCGCGAACTACCCTACCAGCCGCCGCAACCAGGGCTTCCGGAGGAGAGGGCGAGGGCCCGGGAAGTAGTCGCGGGTTCTCGGAGGAAGTGACGTCGGGTGGCGCGGTTCTCCCTCCCGCCTCGCCCCGCCCCGGGCCGCTTTCCAGCTCCCCGATTGGTCAGCTGCGGTCTGCCAGCTGGCGGACGCTCGCGGGCTCCGGGCAAGCTGGGGGCGGGCGCGGCGGGCCTGGGTGTGCGCGTGCGCGGGTCCTGGGCCGCGCAAGGTACTCTGGGTTTTTGTTGTTCGTGGGGTCCGTACCTGGAGGGAAATGTGGCGTCCGAGGGCTGCCCGCGGCAGTGCGGCGTGGTGCCTAGAGCGCGGCCAAGGCGCTTTCCCGCCTCCCTTTCTTCTCTGGGCCTGGTGTGCTGGGATGTAGGGAGCCGAGGGGCGGTGGCTGCAGAGGCGGCCGAGCCCCGTGGTGAGCTGAGGATGAGTTTTAAGATCGATGTGTGGCTAGTGGTCACAAATACCGTGTGTTTACAATGTGGCAGTGTGGCCGGAGGTTTAAGTGAATTACGCAGATTATCCCCTCCCCCCCTTTTTTTTTTAAACCATCTGAGATTTCCCTCCCAAGCCAGCACTCCGGCCGAAGGGACTTGACAACCGAACAAAGAAGGGGCTGTTGTTACTGCAGAATTGACCGACGCGTTCAATAAAGTCAGAATACCCCTTTACCGGCAGGTCATTGATTCTAGCAATTCCCGAAAAGAAAGCTTGAAAACCACGAGGGTTTTTATTTTAGCTGGTTTGATAACAGCCAGGTTTTTGTCTCTGGCCTTCCGTGATGTATGCTCATCCCACACCAGACAGCCTTAGTCATCATGGGTTTTGTGTTCCCATCTGATAAACTCTGTCCATGAATTAACCGGGCAATTAAAAAATATTATGCTAAAGTAAAATCTCACACTTATGTTCTATACTTTCTGTAAATTGTTCTTAAATATTTGTTAAACTTGGCTTAGTGAAAGAAAATGTGCTGTGAGCATCACTCCGGGTCAGGGAGGAGCCCAGCACTCGCTGCCATACAGAGATTTGCTACATGACCCAAACTGAAACCAGGTATGCTCAAAAGTGCCATGTTTTGCATAACATAAGTGCATCAAGTTCGTATACAATGTGTTTATTGCATAGTGGACAGCGGGAGCGGAAGCTGGCTTGGTAAAGTTTAGCCAAAATAAGATAGTATTTTATCTGCATTTCATTAAATGAAAAACATTTCGTGTTCAGTGCGTCTGGTTTATTTAACTAAAGCTTGGGAAATTTACCCAGCACAATGTTTTGAGGATCGCTAAAATAAATTAATTTTGGTTAGGGCTGGATCATGATTGGCTGCTCAAAAGTGTTACTATTCTGTGATAGGTCAAATTAAATTTAACTTGACAAATTTTAGATGTGAAAGACAAAGGCTCCCCCTGGTGTGCATGAGTTATAAAACATGGCTTTTGTGAGTCTCCCAATAGAGCCAGCCCAACACTTCAGATTGTTGAGTAACGTTGAGAACTACTGAAAAATGGTGGGATAAACAGCAGTGTGCTCTCTTGAAAATTTGTTTCATAAAATGTTTTTACGTTTGCATGTTTGATGAGTTGTGTTTTTTTTCCACTATCCATTGCTTTGGGTATGTACATTTTTGAATTTGATTTAATGCCTTTGGAGCCATCTCTCAACGTGTGCAGTCAGCACAGAGGTCTCTTCAGAATCCCTCCACTCATCCCCTCCACCCCACGCTCAAGATTTTAGGTTACTGGGAAGTGCTGGTATTGGAGCTGGGTTTGAGTCATACTGCCATAATTTCATTCATCTCTTATCTAGCCAGCTACTTTGAGTATTTTTTTTTTTCTGCTGGATTTGTTTGAGATGCCTTGTTCATAGGAATTATTAGACACAGGAAGAGTTAGTAACTTCCTCTATTCACTTTCTTTTAAAATCATTTGAAATCTACTCACTTATTTATCCTATCAGTATGAAGTAAGAATCAACAAAATCTCAGCTAATGTAACACCGCACTTTCAAAGAAAGTGAGAATCGTATAATAAAACTACTGTTTAAACCATGTTCTGCAAAGGTTTTGTCCTCATCAATGTGGAGGCTTGTTGTTTTGTTGTTGTTTGTTTGTTGTTGTTTCAGCTTAGATTGTGAACTCTCTGTAGAGACTTAATAGCTCTGTAAAAAAAAAAAAAATCTCAGATTGTTTCTTAAGGCCATACGCTATTTAGTAGATCATGCTTAGTCTTTGGAGATAAACAGGCACTTTTAAGCTTTGTTGTTAATACGGTATTAGAAGAAAAGACATTCCAGTTAGCCTCCCCTAATCGGCAAGTTCGTTCTACCAAATATGGATAAAGATGTGTGTGGTTGGCTTTAAATGAAGATTTATTTCAGTTCAACTCTAAGAATTTCTCAGACTGATTACAGAATCAATTTTTATATTTTGTTTTTAGCCAAAAAAACTGTTTACAGAGATACAGTGACATTTATTAGAGAGAGAAAAAAACCTTGTCTGTATTATTCAAGTTAGAAAACGTAGATATCCATGAATAAAAGTTAAAGATGTATGTATGCTTTTAAAAAATAATTTGATATAATAGGAATATTAGTATATGTTTTGATTATCAGACTTAAAATATAACTATTTTCTTTTATCAGTAAGTAATTTTGGAAATCACATTTTTACTGGCTGCTTAGTATGCATAACTGACCTATATTATAGATGAACCGTGATTTATTTACTCTTTTTGCTGATACTAAAGTAAATTCTGACTTTTCACAGTTAAAAATAATGTGAAGGTGAATAAATTGTGATGCAAATTTTAATGTACATCTTTTTCTTACAGGAATTTATTCTAAGAAAATACATTGTTAGGTCAGAAAGTCTCTGCTCTAGTTCAATTTGCTGTGATAAAGGACCCTGGCCAAAAGCAAGTTAAAGGAAGGGTGTCCCTGGCTTATGCTACTAGATTACAGTTCAGTATTGAGGGACGTCAGAGCAGGAGCTCAAGCAGAAACCGTGGAGTATGTTGCATGTCAGCTTCCTCCTCTTGCCAGGCTTAGTTAACCCTCCTATATGGCTGAGGACCACCAACCAGCCTATCGATGGCGCCACTCACAGTAAATGAACAATCATGACAGTTCCTCACAGACATGGCCACAGAGCAGTGTCATCTGGGCGGTGTCCATCTGCCCCGTGTCCTCTATTGAGCCTTCCTCTCATAGCCCTAGGCTATGACAGCTTGACAGCTGAAGCTAAGTAGGACAGTGTCAGTGAATTAGCTGCCTTCTGGAAAACCTGTATGATGACCCTCCATAGTGTATGTAAACACTCTGTTTCTTCAGTTGTTAGCAGTATTGTCAACAAATGGTGCTTCATGTTACATGATACTTAAAGATCTTTGCCAATAAGCAGAATTTAACTATCTAAATTTGTATTTTTATCAGTGATAAAGTTTAAAATCTGTTGGAGGCTGTTGGCTATTTGGGCTATTTTACTTTGTGTTTGTAATTTACCTGTTCATGTAAAACTTTTCCTTTTCAATTTTTTCAGAAACAGCAACTATGTCATCTGAAATGCTGCCAGCATCTGTTGAGCCTCCTGAAGTGGAAGGAAAGACAGGCATGAGTGAATCTGAAGCAGAGACACAGAAGCCAAGAATCGACGCAGGGACAGAGACACTATCTAAACGACAGATGAAGAAGCTGATGAAACAGAAACAATGGGAAGAACAGCGAGAACAGCGCAAGTGTGTATCTGAGAGCATGTGCCATCTTAGTGAGAGACAGAATATTGGGTCGTGTTAAAAGCTGTCTTCACTGACACTCAGGTCATAAAAAAATAAGGTTATATATGTTATTAGCTAACACTGAGCTGCTGTTAAAACCACACGTGTGTGGAATTGTGACTTTGTTTCTTCAATACTGATGAACTTAGGCTCAGCATCTTTTCTCAGCTAAGACTACCTGAATAGGAGCAGACTTGCCAGAATGGCTCAGACAGGGGAGCTGGGATCCGTGTCTTAGATCCGGGTAAAATGGCAACACAGGAAGGCCAAACTTTGGCCTGACATGGATGTAGCTAAAACAGGTTTTCATGAAAGCATTTCTGCAACAGCCATTGTCTGATGCCAACATTTACAACAGATTAGAAAAGCGTTGCACTTTTATTTATTTATTTATTTTTAAGTAAATTTAGTGAAGTTGTCTTTTTAGTATTCTCTGTGAAATTGAACTAGAAAATAGTTTAGGGGATGAGTTGTGAGTAAATTCTTCATAACTCATAAGTTACTCTTAGACCTATATGATGCTAATAATGAAAACATTGAATAATGCAGTTATTCATTAAAGAAAGCTTTATATTATCTTTGCAAAGTCATTTTCTTCATATGTAAAGTTATTGTTATTGTATGGAGTAAATAAAGTTGCTAATATCTGACCCTTTTCTTCCCACAGAAGAGACATATTTCATATAACCCTATTTTAAAATGTCATGTTTTGTTCAATTAGAAGTTTTGTGAATGTCTAAATAAATAACAGAAAATGTTTTATTTGCTTGTTTAGGGAAAAACGAAAAGAAAAACGCAAGAGAAAGAAATTAGAACGGCAATGTCAACTGGAGTCCAACTCAGATGGAAATGACAGAAAACGCATTCGAAGACATGTCATTCATAGCAACCTCCGCCTTATCATTGATTGTAGCTTTGATGACTTGATGGTATTAAAGGTATTATAAGGTCCCTGTTTGTGAACTAGGTTCTATCATTTTATTTTCATATGTAGTATGAAAATAATATTTATACACTAAACTGCATCTTAAGTTTTTCAAACTCTCTTACTCCTAAATTGAGTGCTTTTCTATGTATATCATATTAAAGTTTATATGTGCATAGACAGACATTTACCCCATAATTAGATAATAAAACTAACTAACCGCATATCAGTTATAAAGATTGTAAAGTGACTGAGTGGGATACATTTTGAAAAACTGAGACAGGAGCATCTCAGAGAGTTTTAAGCTAGCCTAGGATAGCACATTTGAAGCACATTTTGATCTACTCAGTGAGATCCTATGTCAAATTAAAATAAACGTGTGTGTGAGTGTGTGTGTGTGTGTGTGTGTGTGTATTTGTATCTGTAGCACGACTGGAGAGATAGATCAGTAACTCCAGTTTCAGGGCATCTGGCCTCCACAGGCACTGCATGAACATGGTGTGCATACATATATCCAGGCACACGCACACACACACACACACACACACACACACACACACACACACAATTTGTTTCAAATCTGGCATTTTACCAATGCCAGTGGGGTAAAGTATGGAAATAGGATGATTCTAACTAAAAGAAGCTTTTTTGGTTTTATCTATTAAACCAGCATCAACTAGCATATTGAACAGATAGAAACTTTAAAAGGACAGGTGAATTATGGAGCATTAACTTTACATATAGTAATTTTGTTAGTGTGTAGGAAAATCAAATGAAAATTATCACAATAGCCTTAACATTTTAAAAGGAAGATTTTTGCCTCTCTGTCCCTTCCTTCTGCTTATTCTCTTTTTTTTAACACCATGGAATGGCCTTGGATGATTTTGATAATCCTGTTTTTTAAATTGTGCTGTTTTATAGGATATTAAGAAGCTTCATAAACAGATTCAACGATGTTATGCAGAAAATCGGCGGGCATCACATCCCGTGCAGGTGCGTATGAGGGATTAGAGGAGACTCGGTGTCTTTCCCATCTCTCATGACAAGAGATCTGGGTTATTCTGGCTACCCTTACATGAGAGGCTTAGAGGCTTCTTGTATCATGCTTATTTGATCATTTTTTTTTCCTACAAAAATATTTTGAACATGAGTGTCATTCCCAGACACTTCCATCATTAGCCTTGTTCATTTTCAGTGTCTGTTCACAGCTGTGTAGTGGGGAGTCTCTGTTTTAGGACATGTGCATGTTTTCACAGCAGTTTCTCAGCCTTTTGATTCCTTCCAGCTATGGGAGGTGGAAAGGAGGGGAAGTAGGCTGCCACTGTCTATTTGTACAGCAGGGCCTCTTAGATGTGTCTCTCTTACTTTTTTTTTTGAGCCAAGGACAATTCTGAAGAGTATTGCTTAAACTTAGAGAGTTTAAGGCTGGTTAGAGGTATGTTTTACCAAGTAGAAGCAGTATGGTACTGTGTTTTTGTATGATTTTATACCCTACCTTTACATCTTTTTCCCCCCGCTACATGAGGCTCTGAGCATCTTTGATTCAGCTGTGAAGTAGGTGTCAGGAACGTCTCAGCAAAACTAATAACAATAATAGTGACAGCGGCACCTTCTTCCATGAAGGTAGATGAGAGCTTGATGAAAAGAAGGGAGTTTGCAGACTCTTCAGTGACAGACAGGTTATAGCTACCCAGCCAGGACTCGGGATGCAAATGTTAGAGGCATGCCAGAGCCAGTGCATTAAGGGGACACCACCTTCACATGTGCCCTTTCTCCCACCTGTTTCAGCTCTGCTCAGAGTTGATCACAAGTTCTTTTCTAGCTCAGTGAAAAGTGTTTTCTGTTTCATTGGTGATCAGATGAATGATGAGGGGATAAAATATCGCACTTACTGATCATATTCCTTCTTTCTCTCTGCCTGCCAATTGCCCATCAGTTTTACTTGACAAGCCATGGAGGTCAACTGAAAAAGAACATGAATGAAAATGACAAAGGATGGGTCAACTGGAAGGTAGTAGAACAGTCTTAAGTATTCTAAGCTAAAAGGCTCTTTTGTTTTACCTAAGTTCTCAGTAATGGCATGCTCCAAAACCCTCATTACACCCATGTCTAAAGTTACAAGGATTGAAGCTGAAGAAGAGAATGACAGGTCTGTTCATTTGTATTTACTGCCACGAATCTTGTCTGCTAGCTTAGAGCCACTCTTTAAAAAAGAAATATCTGAAAGCCTTAATAAGATCTTCTGTAGCAGACTCACTCTAAAATTTGGAAGTGTCTCTACATTTCATTTCTTCTAAACCATGCTCTCTATTCTGTGACCACTAGCCAAATGTGGTTGTAAACTCCTGAGATGAGGAAATCTGGGTTGTGAGTTGACAAACGCTGTAAATGTGAGATGCGTGCTAACTTAGAAGGGAAGGGGAGTATAGCATGGGCATATTATGTTAAAATTGACTTAATTTATCTATTTTTACTTTTTTAGTGTGGCTTCTAACAGATTTAAAATGTATTCGTGATGTATAATTTCCCTGTTGTAGGTATTTGTAAAGATGTGGTCAGCTTCCTCAGTACCACTGTGGCCATCTTGGCTAGGAAGAGTTGGCCAGGTACACATATATCCATCTTGTCTAGGAACAGATGTGGCCATCTTGGCCAGGTACAGACATGGCCGTCTTGGCTAGATACAGATGTGGCCCTCCTAGCCCAGTACAACTGTGGCCAGCTTGGCTTGGTACTCCACTGTTCAGAGGAGTGCTGTGTTGTGCCTGTGCATTTGTTTACTGACTGTTTTCAGCTCCCACAGTGTCCCACTTTCCCACAAATACCTACTAATCTAGCAACTGCATTTATGAAGAGCCTATGTGTGGACATTTGCAAGAAAAGTATTCTTGGCAATTCTTTTAGATTCATGGCTCTTTTTCTAAGAAATAATGAATACGTTAGACAAGCATGCTTTTTTGTGTCTTGCCAAGCTGTTTACGACCTCAGGTTTCTAGAGAAATACAGATTCACTGGCCTCTAGTTACTCAAGCTACTCTTGAGGCCCTGATGAAGTATAGGAGTCAGATTTTTAGCATAGTGTTCTCCAGAAAAGACATTACATTAATCAGTAGCATACAATCTAAGAGTCTGCTTCACTTAAATTTTTTTTAATTGTATAAAAGTCAGCCTGGTGCCATATCACTTAGGCAGTTAATGTGACTTGAAAAATCTTACAGCTCTTAGTAAGTCTTCTATCCAAGAATTGACAGTTTTGGTAAAGAACCTTTCAAATGTATCTTGTAGAAACAGACACATCCTATTAATTAAATTGACGTAATTTCCTTTTGATGAGTCAAATGAGAGATGTAATTAGAAAAGACATTTCTTGTCTGAAAAACAGTGTAATCAAGAAGGCAGGAAACTGCATTTTGATTTTTTATTTTTGGAGCAGAGATATAGTTAAAAGGTAGACTGGTGCCATATCTAGGAAAGATGTCCTGGGTTGAAGTGTTGGAGTTGGACCCTACAGGAAAGGGCTGGATAATGCAAGTGAGATTTTAGATAACACAAGTGTGTGGAATTCAGGTAGGGACTGAGGCCAGCCAAGGAAAGGTTGGTAGAATATTTCCATGACTGAGGTATGAGGTAAGGAACTGGCTATGGATTTTAAATGCTATTCTAGCAATAGCCTCTCAGGCTTGATTTCAGATGTTCTATTCAGGTTTGTTTTGGGAAAAGAGGGTAACCATTTTAGCCAGCTTTCACAGAACCCTGCCAATTAATACACTTGTTCTCCTTTTGTTTTTGAAGGATATCCACATCAAGTCAGAGCACTATAGTGAAGTCATCAAAAAAGAGGACCTGGTTTACCTGACATCAGACTCACCTAATGTACTGAAGGACTTAGATGAGTCCAAGGCTTATGTGATTGGAGGGTTAGTGGACCACAACCATCACAAGGTACTGGATTTGCTCCTACATAAAATCTGTGCTTCAGATGGTGACAGAATCCTAATGCAGATGGTCTTTTCTTCAGCACGTACTATAGTGGTGGTGACCTAAGCTAAGCAAAAGGCCTCATGTTAACTTATTTAACCCCCTCTAGTTCAGGGAGGTCAGTGCAGTTATTTCTGCATTTCACAGCTGCAGCATCTGAGGAACAAAGAAATGGAGCCTAAAGTCGGCCGTGCTAGGGGCAAAGCCGAGGACTGGAAGTGGCGAGACTGCTGCAGAGTCCACATCCACAGTGTGTGTCGCTGGGCTCTGCTGCTAGCGAATTGCTCCACCACTGAGGTTAATACCAATTTTTAAAATAGGTATTTTATTTTATGAGTGTTTTGCTACATGTATGTTAACACTGTGTGTTTGCCAGATGCCCTTGAAGGTCAGAAAATGTCAGACTCTCTGGAACTGGAGTTAAAGTTGTGAGCCATCCTATGGGTGCTGGAAACTGAACCTGAGCAGTGCGAACTGCTGAGTCATCACTCCAGCCCCATATTAGTGTTTAAATGTGTGATTTCCCAAATTGTTTTTCTCATCTTTCTTTTCCCAACTTATGTTTTTGTATAGATAAGAAGTTACAGAACTCCACTTTCAGAAGAGAACATTATTGTTTACTTTGCAACATGCTCATTTCATCCCATTTTTTCTAAAGGAAGGGTAGTTTTTCCTAAGTGAAGAAATGTCAGAGCGGTGTATGAAGGAGTTGTGTGAGCCGCAGCAGCCATGTGCACATGGAATTTCTGCCGTGTCACAGATGACCACATCCACCTGTCCAGTGGTGGAGTCACGGCTGGAGCTCCTCAGTGTGATATGGCTGAGAATTGGATTTTTTTTTTTTTTTTTAATTGTAATTTTGAGGTTGTCAGGTATGGCTAGGCATTGGATGAACAACTCTAGAACATTACAGGAGCCTCATCAGAGTGGTCTTCAACCTTTTTGTTGTTCTTAGAAAATTCTAATTTATAATTTATGCCTGAACAGATTCTCTGCTCAGGTTGTGTTCAACAAATCATTTTTATTCCAAAAGCCCTTGGCTCTTCCCGTCTTTTACCCCCACATATGCTAAGAACTTATTGAGAAATTAAGCTTACACTTCCTGGATGGTCAAAGGGAATCTTCCTCTGGGATAGACACAGATTTCAAGCGTTTTAAGTTTGGGAAAAATATGAAATCCCTATCTAATCAATTTTTAGTTTATTGAAAGGGAAAAATAAAATGTAAGGACAGTTGAAATACTTTCACTCAGGGTTTCATTTCATTGCCATTTTTGTGTCTCGGTGTACAATTGAAACTGAATTTCTTTTATATAAATACAAAAATAGCGGAATTTTAGCAGAGCCATTATATCCTGTTTATATATATATATATATATATATATATATATATATATATATATATGTATATATATATATATACACACACATATACACATACATACATACATACATACATACATACACATACATACATACACATACATACATACACACACACCATTCTGGAGTGATGGCACTTAGGCTTTGAAGTAGCCTTTATAACAGTCACTGTTAGCTGAGATTTTATTAAGTTCTTCTTTTGATGGATTCTCAGAGCCTTTGTATAACTTAGTTTGGGGACAGGCCTGGCAAACCAGGAAGTCTTGTGTGGCTGAGAATTGCGTGGATAATAGTTCCTTCACACAACCCCTAGATCAGGTAAGAGGTTTCGGTATGCGGAAACTGACTTGTTAAATGTCTTCTCAGTAACAATGAAGAGCATCCTGTTGATGCCCTGCTGCTGAGACGCCTGAACTCATCCTGCAGTGTCTCTTTCTTCTATCAGTCAGCACCCAGTGTAACCCAGAACACCGACAAAGAATGATGGTGCTTCTCTCCAAATTCAGTTGGAGTGTTTAACCCAGAGAAAGGGGGTAGGGATGGGAAAGAGAATAACCAGAAAGCCGACACACTGGGATTTCATTGTTCTGCCACTGAGAAGATTTCTACCTGCTGGGAATGCAGTTTCTTCACCTCTGTGTGGTGAGATGGTTAAGCAAAGGCTGCAAATGCTCCTACTGTCAGGACTAAAACACACCACGTGCTCTTAGGTTTTCTGTACTCAGTCCTTTCTGAAAAAGATCTGCACTCTGAAACTATATATCACCTAAGTCCTAGTGTCTTTATTTTTAGGGACTGACTTTTAAACAGGCATCCAGTTATGGAATTGAGCACGCACAGCTCCCTCTTGCCGATTTTGTGAAGATGAACAGTCGAAAAGTCCTGGCAGTTAACCATGGTAAGCTACTGAGGTGACTGAAGGGTGTCTAAGTTAGCACTGCGAAAGAGAACATTTCAGATTTAGACAAATAGAAAGGAGCAGTCATTTATTAGAAATAAAAGTGAATGCCTTAGGAATTTTTGAAAGTTCAAAACGTAAATTCAGAGTACAAAAACAATTAGCTATAATATCACGACTCGTGGGTACTTGCTATTAACTTTTGGGTTTGTTTCCTCCCAGCTCTTTTCCTGTGACTGGGTCTCTGACAACATTGCTACTCTAGGGTACCTAGTCTTCTCTTCATTATAGTTTCCGTGTGATTGGTTTTTAGTGACCATGATATTTCATCCTCTAAATAGATAAACATTTAATCATTCTCCCATTGTTGAGTATTTTTAATTTGTATTTTAATTTGTATATTTTTGTTATGTAATACCCAAAATTAACATGTAAGCGCCACTTACTGGAATGGTGGGAATTGTACTTCTTGGAAGATAACAAAGGCCAAGGGGAAAGTATAGTGGACTATAGGTTTGTTCTTATAAACCCCTTCAACATGTAGTTAGGGGGTTAGGGTTAGCGTTAGGGTTAGAGTTAGTTAGGGTTCCCATTCTCAGCTGAGAAATTCCAGGGAATGGTCCTGACCAAAGTCTAAAGTCTCTTGGTCAGTATTTCCTATTTAATAAAGCTTGCTGTAAATTTGGCCCAAAATGGTAGAATTGGTGAATCTCAGGATTAACAGGTGACATGAATAACATTGTAGTGCACCGCTGCTTAGATATCATTTTTTTGTTTAAGTATTATTTAAATTCTAATTTTAAAAAAAACATTTTTGAGACAGGGTTTCACTGTGAGACTAGGCTGGCCTTCAGCTAATATCAGTACACCTGCCTCTTCCTCCTTCCTTAATGTTAGGATTAAAGGCATACACTACCAAGCCACCCAACTTTAATATGTTGAAGATGTATTTATAATTTTTGTGTAAGTGTTTTGCTTGCATGTATATATGTGTACCAAGTACGTGTTTGGTGCCTGTGGAGGCCAGAAGAGGGAATTGGATCCCTGGAACTGGAGTTACAGGCAGTTTTAAGCAACCATGTGGATATTAAGAACTGAACCCAGTCCTCTGTAAGAGTAGCCAGTGGTCTTAAAATTATCCTTAAAGGAGATTGAGGCATCTCTATGTCTCCTTGACTTAATTTTTAAAGTAACAACTTATCTAATCCTAAATGCTTCTGTATAGTAGGCTTTATGGAGTTAGAGAAATGAAATTACTTATTCAAGCAACAATTTTTTCTTTTAAACCTTTGCTACCTTAGTGGTCATGACTTTTCTGCAAAATGGCCTGGAAAGCTGTTCCATAGTGTGGTGGACCTAGGGATAGATGGTGTTGGTTTCCTTTCTACTAATGTGAAAGCAAAAGCAGAAAGCAGACAAAAGGCTCTTTGGAGTGGCTCTTTGTAGGGAAGATAGAAGAAATGTAGCTAAGTGTCACCATCTGTGTTCTAGTTTTAAGTTAGTACATAAGAGATGAAAAATAACTGATGAAAAACAGGACGGAACCTCAAAAGGTCTTCTCTTGATTATAATGGACAACTGATGCTTCTAAGTTTCTGGGGCTTGAGAACTGACTGAGGGAAAGCTGGAGAGGGCATACAGGCTGCAGAGCCGTAGGGCTCTTTGTCCCTGATAACCAAAAGGAGAAGGAAGTAAGAACTTTGCATAATTAGGACAAGTCAGCACTTAGCACAAGGGTCGTATTACAAGACAGTCTGCAGCATCTTGTTGTCCTTGACTAAGGAGTCTGGATTTGTCCTTGTTGCAGTGTTTGAAATTATCCTGGAGTTCTTGGAGACAAGAGACTGGCAGGAAGCATTTTTTACAATCTTACCGCCACGGAAAGGAGCTGTTCCTGCACACAAGGCCTATGAAAGCTCCCCTTGGGACCAGCAGTCTCTCCAAGGAGGATGGGACAGTGGCAGCGAGGGAGAACCTTGCGAAAATGACCCAGACTCGCCACAGAAAGAGCAAGACCAGCAAAGCAGCCTGGCATCTGCAGTGAGCCCTGCCCCACAGTAACCTTCCCCTGCTCTCCTCTCGCTGAAGAGAAGCCAGACAGTGAGGCGCTTCACAGAGGCCTAGGACTGCAGGAACATCGATCTTCTCTTGTCTCTCTTGTGGAAGTTTAAATCTTTTTCGAGAGTTAAATGATAATGAAAAACCCTTTAAGCACTAAGAAAGGATTGTTTGGTTTAAGACTTAAAGGTATGATTTCAAAATTGTTTTAAGCCTCAAATCAGAGTCACGGTGGATGTTGCCACACTGGTATGCCTTCATTCTTCATTCACTGGACTATATACTTCAGGGCGTGCCTTCTGACCTCTGAGCTTTGATCTTTTATGTTCCTATTTGTGTCTTTTTGGTCTGATGCCTGTTTGTTGGAGTAGCTTCCCAAGCTACCCTTCTGTGTTCAGTGCTTTTGTGTTCAGTGAAATTCTTTCTAAGAAATACACTAATTCTAGGAGGAATACGAGGTGTTTGCTGGCCTCGGCAATTCTTTCCCTTTGGACAATGGAGCCCATTCCTGTGCCTCCTTTGTGATGCCTTTTCATGTTTCTGAAATAGTTGAAAAAATAATTGTAAATCCCTTAATGACAATAATTTATTCACTTATAAAATTAATTTTTTGCTGGCTAGATTATTTTATATGGTTATTTTTGAAGGATCAATTTGTCTTTACCTCAGTTTAAAACAACAATATAAGCTACCCTTTCTAGATATTTTCCATACATAGAACATATTTGCATATATGGGATTATTCGTCTGCATCCTCCTGTAATCTGCCTAATGTCAATTTATTTCTGTAAATAACATGCATGTAGGAAAATGTGCATGTAATGTTTACATCTGTCTGATTTCACATGTAGCTGTCACGTTTTGATCCTTTATGACAGGACTGATATGTATTGTTTGTGGAATGGTTGTGTTGAATGTGCTAATTTGAATTTATTAAATGCCCAAATCCAAAATTAAATAATTTGGAAATTTACGAAGGAAGACGGAGCAGAGGGGAACTGTTACACAACTTCCATGTTCTGCATAGTAGTTGCAGAGAAGTGTGTTTAGAGAAAATGCTCCTGGCCACAGTGCAGGTGTCCAGGAGCTCTCAGAGAACCGTGACATAAGCGCTTGTGCTCTTCTCTCTACTATATAATGTATGTGCTGTCTTAACATCACAGACGGAAGCTCAATAGGCTTAGTACTGATGTTCCCTGTCTGTTTTTGCTTTATTCGTAGTTACCTTTGTAGCTAGTTCTTTGAAAGCTTATAAAAAAAAAAGTATGTAAACAGTTATACTACAGTTCTAGAAAAATAAAGTTCATGTTGTTACTGTACTTTCCTAAGGTTCAGATTTTCTGAGCTGTCCCCACATGCTGTTTGTTTTATACTGGTCTCCAGCTGATGGCACTGTTGTGGAGGTTGTTCCCCTTTGGGAGGGGAAGCTGTGCTGGAGGAGGCATGTCACTCGGGGTGGGCTTTGCAGGTTTACAGCCAGTTCTGTTTCTTTTGTGAAATGTGAGCACTGCTTCCTCACTGCCAGGCCTTCCCTGTCATTATGGACTGTCTACCTCCTCCAGAACGCTAAGCCAAAATAGACCCTTCCTTCCCCATTTGTTTTTTTCAAGGTATTCTGTCATGCATCAACATAAGAGTAACTAATACAATGCCCTCCGTATCATTTTATATGGAATAAGACCCTATTTAATTATGAAAGTGAAGGAAATTATTTCAAGTACCACATGGTTTATTTTTCATTCATTGCAAAGGCTCAGTGTGCTATAAGAAATCATTGACTGAGTGGGCTAAAATAACCACAACTTATTTTCTGCAGTTTCAGCAGCTGCAAGTTCAGAATCAAGCCTGATAGGGCCATGGTCCCTCTCAGCATTATAAGCACGCATTATTTAAAAATTGGTTATATAAATAACTCTTAATGCTGCCATGCTTCTTGCCATGACAATAGTGGACTAAACCCCTGAAACTGTAAGCCAGCCCCAATTAAAGGTTTGCCTTTATAAGAGTTACTAGGTTATGGTGTCTCCTCAGAGCAATGGAAACCCTAAGACAGAAGTTGGTACCAGGAACGGGATATTGCTGGGATAGGCCTGACCATGCTTGTGTTTGGAGGACTGTGGATTTGGGGACTTTGGGTTAGGAAAGCAGTGGAATGCTTTAGGCCAGGCTTAATTGGCCATCCTACTAGGAACACGGGAGCCAGGGGTGCTGAGGCTGATTTGAACTGTGGGGCCCTAGCTCAAGATGTTTCAGAGGAGAAGAATTTTACTGTGTTGCTTAGAGATCGTTCTTGTGATATTTTGGTAAAGAATGTGGTTGCTCTTTGCCCATGTTCAAGGAGTCTGCCAGAGGCTAAGGTGAAGAGATTTAGATTAACTACATTGGTAAAGGAAATCTCAAAACAGCCTAGTAGAGACTGTTCTGTGGTTCACTCTCATGAAGATCTCATGGCGAGCTGAGAAAAGGAAAATATAATAGGTATGGTTTAAAGATTAAAGGGGCACCAGGAAGGAATATGGAGCTAAATCCTGTGTTCAAGCAGATAAACAGGTTAAAGATACTAAATGGCATTAAGGAAGTGTTGACCTCAGGGCAAGATCCCAACCAGCTAAGCTTCCATCTTGTGAAAAGGATGTTCCCCAAGGGACTTTGCCACCTATTCTAAATGTGCATGCATTTTTGGTTGTACAGGAAATAGTTATATCATGTCAGGGATTATTATGACCTGGTTATTCTTTTGGACATAAGGAAGTATGATTGTGTGTCAAGTTGACAAGGCTTGAATTGTGATGCTAGTCTCATTTGTCAACTTGACTGTCTTCAAATCAAGATGTAGAATTCTCAGCTACTCCAACACCATGTCTGCCAGGATGCTGCCATGCTTCCTACCATGACAATAATGGACTAAACCTCTGAAATAAAGCAGCCCCAATTAAGAGTTGCCTTGGTCATGGTATCTCTTTACAGCAATGGAAACCCTAACTAAGACACATGGAAAAGAGAGGATGTGTAGTGAAGAAGGCTGTTCTTAGTCTTCATTCACAGTCAGTACTGCTCTATAGCACAGCACAGATTAAGAAACAGCTTTGAGGATCAGATAAAATAAAATTGCATTGGTATAAGGAAGTTTTAAATCATGTTTCCTGTGTCATTACAGTGCAAATGCATAAAGTAAAGATACAGGAAATAGAAACACTATAATTAATAACAGGTGTATCTAGATCAAGATCCATATGTTGACAATAAAAACAAAACTCATTTTGTTTTCCATTATCTTTGGAACATTTCTAAAAGTGGCTGTATTAGGCTACCAAGAAAAATAAAGACTTAAAAAGAAACCGTAAAAGCAGGTTCTTTGATTGTAACAGTGTTAAAGGAGACAACAAAACTTGGAGGCTGGAGAGATGGCTCAGTGGGTAGAAGTGCCTGTCATGCGAGCATGAGAAGCTGGGTTCAAATCCCCAGACCCCACATGAACAGCAGGATACATTAGTGTGAACACCTGTAATCCCAGTGCTCCTACTGACAGATGGGAAATGGAGACAGAGTCCCCAGGACTCTGGCACACAAAGCAGAAAATCAGCAGAGACTGTGTCTTACAAAAGGCAGAATAGGAATGATACCCAAGGTTAGCCTTTGACCTCTACATGTGCAGCATATGCCTGCATTCACATGAACACACACATACACATAGGCTGTACACAACAAGTGTACACATGCAAATATGTGCTCACGTAAAGAAAACACATTGAGATAAAAGCCTCACTACCTATTCATTAGAAAGGAAGAAAGAACAGAATGAGAGGGAGAGAAGAAAAGAAAGAAGAAGGAAAGAAAGGGAAGGAAAGAAAGGGAAGGAAGGAAGGAAGGAAGGAAGGAAGGAAGGAAGGAAGGAAGGAAGGAAGGAAGGAAGGAAGGAAGGAAGGAAGGAAGGGGAAAAAAGCTAAGCAACTGGAAAAAGGAAATCAAATCTGAAAGCAAGCACTTTACCCACTGAGATGGCCTTGATGAATCTGGAGAACAGAGAGGCCAGTGTCATCATGAGAGTCTTTAAAAGAACAGGCAAAAGAATGGCAGACTGATTTGGTACAAGAGGTGAACAACTTGATTAGCTATTATTCTCTTTCAAGATAGAAGGGAGCCATGAATGAAAGACTGTGGATCACTTATAGAAGACAGAAAACAAACTCTTCCTAGAGCCTCCAAAAGGAAATTGACATCATTTTCTTTTTAATCCGTTCCACGTCTCTGCCTCCAGAACTGTAATATATTAAAATTGTATGGCAATAAGTTGCTGAGTTGGTAATACTTTGTTACAGCAACAGTAGAAAAATTTAGTACTTTCTTCTGATCTAATTTCCTTTTGCCAGCTGATTATAATTGACAATGATACCCTAGATGATCATTGAGCCACATAGAAGGATCCTAGGCCTCTCACTCAGCAAGCAATGCAAATGTATCCACTGATAGGAACAGAAGTCCTGAGCTCCTATATACGAAATAAACCCTGTTACAGTTGAAGCACAACATGTTACAACCTTGCACTAAGTAATTGTTGTAGCCCAAGAATAGTTAATTTAAAAAAAATTATATTAAATGTTGTAACATCCACCTTTAGCACTGAGTGGAAATAAACTCCTTTCTGGCTCATGAATTAAGGATAATTTTTACATTTTTTTTTCTTTTTGGAGGGGAGATGAAGATTTTTCCATTATAGTCCCCAAACATGGAAACACTGTAGGTTGCCAAAGTTGTCTCAAATGTTAAAATTCTCAAGCAATTTTCCCCAACTCTGAGTTTGGATTCGGCACTCAATTCTGATAATAGATGGTTTTCTAGTTTTGGCCTTATGCTTAGGTACTAATACTATTAGCACAAGACAGGAAATGGCATTTAAATAAGCGTGTCTTTTATGTGTATTAAAACACTACAGATAGAAATAGTCTTCATTAGTATTTATTTCTAACATTATATACACGTGTTTTTGAGATTTACATGTACCACATATAAAGAACCATTTGGTTATTTTTAAAACTACTTTGATGCACTGTCAGTATGATGCTCATTTTGCTAAAAAACTGACTAATGTTTCTTTCTACCTTTGAGGTGTTAAAGGATATAATGCTTTTTGAAAGTTGTATCCTTGCACACTCCTTGCTGACACTGGTTTTGCTAACCCACTGTCCTGAGAGTTGGACCGGAGAGGAGCCTTCGGCTTGCTGAAATATTCTGTAACAATTGTTTTCATCTTGTTTGTTCTTATAAACAATGGGATCTTAGCCCCTGAAATAGAAAAAAAAAATCTAAATAAGACCATAATCGAAAAGACTGAATATAGTTTCTACCCTGTTTTATTATTGAATGGTGTAGGGTTAAAAACAAAACAAACATGAAGGTTAGATGAAAAACACTCAGGAGTCATAACAATCTATCCATTTTTACCATGCTCACCTTTGATGAGATTTTGTGGTAACATACATGTGTGAGAGTGTTGGGGCAATGATTGGACCAGTGACATAAGGACCAGTTACCCCAGTGGGTGAAGCAAGAGAACAGACAGGCATCTTAGAGCAACTTAACTGTACTCCTCAGACTTTTCCAAAGCCTGCACTGTTCACAGCTATTTTGGGAAGGTCTGGTGACGGTGAATGCTGGCCATGGGGAGAAGCAGCGAGATCTGGGTCTTATGTAAAAGTCTGTGTGTCTAGGCAGGGTAAGCTTACAGTTGAAGAGAAACCACTATGTAATAACTGTCGTTCTCCCGTGAGGATCTGGCAGGAGAGGCCAGGTGCAAAGGGAGCAAGAGGCTGGGTTTACTTTCCACCTCTGGCTCAACTTGCTGCTTGTTAATGTATGGGGCCACTTTGGGGCTTGGTGAACTCCACGGGACAGTGACAGGGTCTAGGGGAACCCTAAAGAATTCCATTTGATGTATCTCATATTCCTGGTCAAGGCAAATTTGGAGAAACAAGACAGATTTTTAATTTGATGCCTGTGGATATATTCCTGTGTTGTCATCCTCCTGAGAGGCTGCTCGTGGACTATTGAGGACCAATGTAGGGCTTTCTAAGACTATTGAGTGTCCCTGGTCTAAACTGCAGGCTGGTGCAGGGCTTCTGATTGGGGCACACTCTTGTTCAGCTGCTTCAGGAGGTACCTGCTTGGGATTGCTGCTGTTGTATCCTTTTCTCTGGGGTCACCAACCTTCTTTACAGTGAAATCGGTGAGGCCCGGGACAGTAAAGCTTTACAGAATTGACCTGTGAGGTCGCTGTCTCTGTGTGGGTCAGTGATCCCATTCACTGAATGGGTGTGACCCCTTTCAACACCTACCGTCTGACCGTGTTTTCAGAGTGTTTTTGTCCCCAAAGACACATTTTTGTCAGATTTATCTTACGCAAAATAAGGCAGATACATTTCTGAAGAGTGGAGCTGAAAACTTCACTGGTTTTCCTTTAAAAGCAAAGATCTTTAACACCTACTGATTTCCTTATACCGTCTGTAATCACCACAAACCATACTTAACCTTGTGATGCCGCCTTATTTCCTTCGGATCCTTGACTTGACATTCTAAATCAATTGGAAAAAGAAAAAGATTTTGAGAGATAGCAATCCACGGTAGCATTAGGAAGCTGATGAGGTCTATCTTAAACATGCTCTCCCAACGCTTCCTTTCAGTCACTTACCAATGACAACTCACTTTGAGCAAATAGCTAATGGGGCTATCATAAGCCACTCAATGAAGGAGGTCAGCTCTTACCGTGTCCTCCTTTCTGACTTCACGGAAACTTAATGGTGCAGTCAAGTTAGAATGTATACTTTTTAAATGCAACAATGTTTTTTTTTTTTATAATTTTCTTTCTGTGACTTTACATTTAACCCAACTTAATTATAAACTAACAAAATTTTCTCTCCCGGCCTAAACACATTTTCTTCAACAGGTTATACATAAGGAGCTGTGTGCTTCTTTCGTTTGTTGTGTGTTATTTTTGAGACAGCCTCTTGCTATGTAATCCAGGCTAGCTTTCAATTTTCAAAATTTGCTTCAGTCTCCTCAAAGCTGAGATTACAGATGTGTGCCGCTGCACCCAGCTTTTTCTTTATTAAAATCCCATGGTTTAAGAAATCTTTCTTAGAAAACAGTTTCCAAACGGCTTAGTAATTTTTTTTTTTCTCTCTGGAACTTCCCAGGAATATATCAGTGAAAATCAGTTGAAGCGATTTATTTTTATCTTCATTGCTTTGTATTAAAATCCATTCCCGTATAATAGAAGCACTTAACAAAATGGGCATAACACTGATAATAGTTCCATTTTCTGTTGTGGTTTTCGTGTTTAAACCTTTTTAAAGTTCTCGGGGCTGGAAAGATGGATCACTGGATAAAAAACCTTACAGCTCCTGTAGAAGACCCGTGTTTGGTTCTCAGCACTGACATGAAGAGGCTCATACCCTCCTGTGACTCAACTATCAGGGAATCTGATGCTCTCTGGCCGCTGTGAGCACTGTACTCATGTTCTCTGTCTCTCTCTCTCTCTGTGTATGTCTCTGTCTCTTCTCTCTCTCTTAAAAATAACCTTAAAAAACTTTTAAAAAACCTTATGTTTTCCTAGATTTCTAGATGTCTAGTCTTACTTTGCCATTAGTAGAAAGGGAATTGTCCTCAAAAGAGAAAGGCTGGTAGCTAAAGAACAGAGGCTCTGCCAAAATGTTCTAAATAGTGGAACTGAAAAAAACTTTGTTATTATGTGTGAAAATGAAAGAAAACAATTACATGTGTGCAGTCGCTTGCTAGATAGAGCTGAGACTTAAAACCTCAGCAGTTGGAAGAGAAAATAAGAAAGTGTGAAGTCTTTAGGTACAGCGGTCCCCCAGGTGACATCTATATTTACTCACCTGAGTGGCTGATGCCCTTCCCTGGAGCCAGTCAGCACTTTCGGTGAGGCAGATAAATTTTGCAACGATTTGGTTGTGGGGGGTGCTGCAGCTGTGGCTGGCTTCCTGGGCTCTGCTGCTGCCTCCGTTGAAAGGGTTCTCCTGTGGCACAGGTTTACCCCAGCCAGCTCAGAATGAACCACAGCTGATACCCACTCCTTTTCTGATTTGGGGGAACAAATTTTAACAATAAAGTAAAGAGGTTGGAGAGAATGAAAGCTACTGTCGTCATACTCACCAGAAGCGCAGGTTTGTTCCTCCTTACGCTAGTAATGGGTTTCATATGTCATTGTCATACATTTATGTCATTTCAATTTGGTCTTTTCCATTCCCCTTTCCTCTCATCCTCCCTCCCTACCTCTTGCTGGTCCATTGTGCATTAGGCATGGATGCACAACATCCACACCTGCCTTGCACAGACACACAAATGTACGCACATACACGTTTTTAAAAGGAATTATTGGGGAATTTATTAAATGTTATCTTCTTTTAAAAGCCTCCCCCTGCAGAAATAGAAAATTGTTCCCAAGAACTTTCCGATTAAAAAGGAGTCTTAAACTCTATGGCAAGGCTTTGTTTTTCCAAAATGCTCCCCATCCTCAGACTGTATCCCCCAGTCCAACGTCACCATCTGCATCAACTGGGAACCTGTTACATCAGCAGATTCTCGAGGCCCAAGCAGGAAGTTTTGGCTCCGTTCATGATGAGCTCGTTTGAGGATAGCTGCTGTGTGCTGTACTAATTGCCCTGCTTGGGAACCGTGTTTTCATGACACATGCCAGGGGCAGCCCAAAGGAGGCCCAGAGGCAGCTGAATCATCAGCTAAGATTAAACAATCAGAGTGGTTAGGAGTCTGAAACATGGAAGGCCATGCTGCTGCCATCCACAGCAAAGGAAGGAAACAAGCTTGTGTTTCGACTTCACAGGAGGCCAGAGGATGTGTTCGTGGAGAGCTTGGGCTTTCACACAACATGGGGGAGACACAGAATTCAGCCTTAGCAGAGAAGTCATGTTTCCATTACTCTAAAGAGTTCAGTTTGAAACTCACTGAATTGGTACCTGAATGGCCAGCAGGCATGCAGGTAGGTATTCAGGCTCCAGAAACTCTGGTAAGGAACTCTGGGAAAATAATTTTTTGCAAAAATATTTGCAAACCCCGGGTAGAAAGCTTCAGTTTGGCATATTCATCATCTCTGACTATAACCAGAGGTAGGTTCCTGCACATGCTTGTCTTAACCTCACCTTTGGTACTTGCGTGAATTAGCCACTGCAGAACCTCTGCCAGAGAATCGGTGTGTAGAATGTCACAGAGCTTTGACAGGATCTGACAGGGAACATTACAGTCACATAGTGAGGAAGTAAGCGATGCCTCTATCTGCTAACCTAGGGCTAGTCCTGGATGCTTCCAGCCTCCATTCGATCTAATTTAGGCCTAGAATGTTTTCAGCCTCTGAGACTTATTTTTTAATAAGCTCAGCTTTTCTTGTTCTTTCTGAGCTCTGGGTTGACTGGTTCAACTTAGCTGTTCTGGCTCAGACTCCTCCCCAAGCTGATTTACTCAATCTGGCTTTTCTCTTGGCCTCTGAATTGCTTTGCTTGGCCTCAAACTAACTCATGCAATCTGCTCTCATCCCCTGGCTCCTTCTTATTCTCTGGCTCATTCAGTCTTCACCCAAGTTCTCTCTCTGCAACCTTTCTGTTACTGTCCAGGTAAAAACACTGCCTCCTCTCTCATTGCCCCTTAAGTAGCTTCCCTTTCCTCTCCTTTCTTGTGAGAGTTGGACGTATTTTAGTCTGTCAAGTCTTTCTCAGATTCATCACTGTTTCTGCTACTCAGTTAAACATCACTTTCAAACATGGCTGCATCCTTTTACAAACTAACTTTATCTTCATTGCTTAGGATTAAAAGCATGCACCACACCCAGATCTAAGGTTGTCTTTACCTGAGACTTGCTCTATACCAGGTTGGCCTCAGATTTGCTTGCCTCTGTCTCCTGAATGAAAGGCGTGTTTGCATTCCCGCCAGATCACACAGACCTAGAAGATCTTTGGATATGCTCTCTTGCCAGAGCAGCCATGTTCTGAATTAAAATTCCTCCACAGGGGCTCTAACAGGAATCTGCTAGTCACAGAAGGGCGTCATCTGGCTGCTGCTCTCCTTGGTTTGGCTTAGAAGGGTGTGACCTGAGCTGGACCGTGCCTCCATTCTTTGAATACAGCATTGGGCCCACTGAGAATAGAATCTAAATCCCTTTAGTCAGTAAGAAACCATACTTGAGGTTCTGGGAGGGGATTTTGTTTGCTTGCTCTTTTAAAAAAATTTAATCTTCTTTCCCTGAAGCTACAGGCCTTTCCCTCTCACACTATGCTTTCCCTTTTGAAGAACAGAACTCTCAGATGAGAGCTTTAAGCTCATCTTACAAAGAGCTGTAAGCACTTCGCAGATGGCATTCCATTGTCACGAGTGTGCAGGTTTCTACCGAGAAGGCAGCAGGCACCACAGCACCTTTCTAGTTTTCAGCAGCTGGATTACAGTGCTTAGAAGCAATTTGCCTTAGTTCATCTTCCGTAGGTTTAAGTTTCTGTCAGCTTTAGGAGAATGTTAGCTACTAACTCTGCCCATAATTTGAATGCTCTAATTTTCACTGTTTCTTAGACTCCAGTTACACACAAAGATTAGAATACTCAATATATTCTCATAGGTCAATAAGGCTTGTTTATGTTTTTATATCTACTTTTGCTTGGGTAGTTTTTATTGTTCTGTGTTTAAATTTGTTAATATTTATGTATATTCTGAATGTGTGTGTGTGTGTGTGTGTGTGTGTGTGCGCGCACGTGCATGTGTGAACATGTATGCACACGCATGTGGAGGCCAAAAACCTTTGGGTGTCTCCCTCAGTCATTCTCCCCAGCTGTAGTAATATAAGTAACTCCGTTCTTCTGTTACGAAGTTTCTGAGTCTCGTCTGAACCACTGGTGATTTAAGCAACTCTCCGCGCTCTGGTGTGTGTGATCGACAGCCAGCGGTTCCAAGAACTGTTCCTTTACTCACTCTTTTCTGCTAGGCCTCTGCAGTCTGCCCTGTGCATGTAACCGTTACTGGTGGGCCAAATTCTCAGTGGGGCCCTGTGCATCTTTCTGCAGCTCGGTCTCTACAAGGATTCTCTTTCTTCAGCGTCTTTCTTTACTAGTCCCAGCCGCCTCAGCAAAAGCCCACTGCACTGTGGATGCCACTTCTCTGTACCGTGATTAGGAAACTACCCTAGCAGAAGTCCTCACTGAGTGTAGAGATTACCCTAGTCCTACAGTCATGAAGCTGCGTTGTCTGGTGCCAAATACCTAAAAGCAGCTTCTTCATGTTCTTCCCATTTATGTGATGATTTCCACTGGAGGCTGTCCTGAGAGAATCTAGCATTGTATCACCAGTGTCAGACACCTGTCACATTGCTACTCACTCTCTTCTAGGGGCGTGTGTGTGCGTGCGTGTGTGTGTGTGTGTGTGTGTTCATTAGTGTGTTCATTCATGCTGTTTCCAACTTCTGGGTTTAATAAACCTGCCTCTTACTTTTATCTCCTGGTCCAAGTAGTTTGGTATGCACACCATGCTTTCATTCCCATCGGTCTTTGTACTGGTCGTTTCTAAGCACTGGGAGGCAGCAACAGAGTTCATCCTTGGAGTCAGTAGTGGCTTTTTGGCGTTGAATTCATCCTAAATCAAAGGTATAGTATGATTGGCATGCGGTTTTGCACTTGTAATTTCCATATAAATTAAATGCAACACTAATAAGAAGCTTTTAGCTTTGTTTAAATTTTTTAAAGTATATTTATTTGTGTGTGTGTGTGTGTGTGTGTGTGTGTGTGTGTGTTTGAGAGTTTGCTTGCACATGAGCATGGCATGGTACATGTGCTGTCACAGAACAGCTTTCAGGATTCAGTTCTTGCCTGATATCACATGAGTCCTGTGTGTCTACTTCAGGACACTTAGGCTTGGCAGGAAGTACCTTGCCACACGGACTCATCTCACAGGCCAGATAAACGTTTTTCTTTAATAATAAAACCACAAAAGCAAAGTGATGTGAATAACTCTAAGTGCCCTTTAAACTCTATGGAACATTTGTGTTTGTAGACAAAGCAGATGGTGACTTATTACTAACTTTGGCTGAAATCATTTAAAGCCCTGGATGAAACTAAAGATAACAGTTTAGATGTTGAATGTGAAATCTTTTTGTATATTGTTGTTCCAGGCAACAAATGGATCCTACCGTATGAGATATGTGTTGAGTTGGAAAGAGTTCTTTTTTCACCAGGAAAGCAAGAAGATCTGTGTGTTGTCTATGAAGCAATGTCATTACATGTGCTGCACTTCTTGCTCTGTTAACAGCTGGAGATTTAGAATTAGGAACTCATTTCCTTTTCATTAGTTGCAGAAGAAATAGAAAGGCCTGGGGTAGGCTGAAAATACAGTCTGCAGTTTAAGCAGTGGCAACAACCACCAAAGGTGAGGACTTTATGTCCGTAAGAGCTTCAAAAGCCTTGGCTCTCTGTGCCTGTTCCAGGAAAGGCGCTTTTTGTTTGTTTTGGTTTGGTTTGGTTTTGGTCGATATTGACCAACACACCAAGCTAATGAGGAAATGAGTCAACCTGGACTCGACATGACCAGAATTGATGATCAGATTGCTGACAGTTATGAGAATAAAGCTGTATCACATTCTGATTCTTGTTGAAAACTTCTCATGCATACACTTAGTTGGCCTGGAGAAGAGGGTTACACATTTTGCTTCAATGCTCATGTTGAACAAACTGAAATGCCTGGTTGGAGTTTTAAAAAGTAAATCAAAGAGTCAGAATGTGTAAAACAAGGACTTACATCAACTATGTAGGAAGCTTTCATATCACAATTACAAAATGGCCAACTACTCAACTTCAAAAGATCTGCATATCCATGTCCCATGAAAGGTCTCATAAATGACAGGGAAGAGGAGGAAAGTTGTCGTCTTCATTATTTGTGAGAAAAACCAAAACCCAAACCACACAAGCAACACACTACCACATCCCTGGATGAACAGGGTTTGTTTTTTGTTTTGAAAATAGCAGTCATATTTCAACCTTCTCCATGCTAGGACGACAAACTGAAACCACACTTCACTTCCATCAGCTAGAATCTAAAACCGATCAGACCACATGTAGGGAGAAAGTAAAGACAAAGAAATTCCAAGCACTGCTAAGAGAATGGAAAGTGGAGAAAAACTTGGCCATACTTCAAGATGTAGACACAAATCTTTGTAAGAGTCAGTTATCTCATTTGCAGGTATTGACCAGGAGGTAAGCAAGTATGTGAGTGTACAAAGACTGTGTGTTTAGCTTTATAAAAAGGTGGACAGGACCCAAATGCCCTTCAACAGACCCAAGTCCCTTGGCTTTAAGGACCCTGTTTTAAAAAAAAAAAAAATCAACTGAGCAACTTGGGTAGATTTTTGCTGAGTGAAGCCTGATCTTGAAAGAGAACTTGCATGTGACCTCATTTACATAAAAGTTAAAAGTCTGTGCCACTTTAGTGACACAAAGCAGATCAACATTTGTCTTTGGGAGGGCTGGGCTCATGAGTGTAGGGCCCTGGAGCCCTGGGACTTGGGAAAACCAACCTGGAACAAGAGTGGGGTTGAGGCATGTCCAAACCCAGGAAATCTTGTCCTGAGATTAGCAGGAGAAGGACTGATCCTCCCCCACACTCCACACAGCACACTCCACCCTGGGCATGTGTGTCCTAGTGCGTCCACCTTTACCCCCTGAAGGAGGTCACCTAGCCTGGTATGTGATCTTATAAGGTCATGTCTAGCAGCACCTGGAATTCCTCCTCATGCAAATGAGGCATCCTCAGCACTCTGACCCCCTGAAAACCTCTACCTACCCCCCAAGAGTTTAAGTGGCCTTTGTTCCCCGCAATTAAATGAGCTGTCTCACTGAAGCTATCTCCCAAGAATATTTCTTATAGCACTCACAACCACCTGAGGTCTCTCTCTCTCTTTCATCACTGGCTGTTAACTACCACCACTTCCTTTCTCAGGATCTACTGGTTGGGCTGAAGGCCAATAATGCTGTAATGGGCTGGCTGGGGAAACAGCCTGAGTGATACATGAGGAAATCCTGGTTTGGTGCTGCTTCCCTGAGGGACATGTGTGTACTTGTTAAGATGCATTAGACTGTGTGTTTGGGATGTAAATGTTTTATATCGTGTTAGCTCTACCTGCACAAAGCTCTACAAGTAGAGTGAAAGAGGCCTCTAAGAAGTGCCGTAAAGAAGAACAGTTGCTAGAAGTCAAAGCAGCTAGGTATGGCAGAGCTCCCTTACCTTCTTAAAAACTAAGGGATTGTCAGTGGAAGTCTTGAAGTTCTTACTGACTTTTCTACATGGCTCTGAAAGAAATTGGGGAAATACATTTAAATTAAATTAAATGTAAATTAATTAAATTAAATTAAATTAAAGAAATTTCCATTCATGCTTTGTGTATTAGTTGCTGAAATAGTCTAGTCTATCCAAACTTAAATAAAGGTCAGCTCTGGTCTATGTGTGACAGTGAAGATGTTTGTGGTGGAAAACCATGTACAGTAACGTTATACAAGTGTATTTATGTTTTTAAAAAATACTATTTAAAAAATTCTGTTCCCAGATGAAGACATATTGCAAACTAACCTCCCTCCACCCATCTTTCCTTCCCTCTCTCCATTCCCCCCTCTCTCCCTCCCACCTTTTCTCCATTTCTTCCCCTTCTCCCATCTCATTCTCACCCAGGCTGGCCTCCTGACTCAGCTTCCCAAGTGACTAGGATTACAGGTCTCTTTCAGCAGCCCTAACTAGTCCAAGCTTTCTTGATTCGCTTAAACTCATTGTAAAAGTAGAATCCTACTGAATGTTTCTTATCCATGTGCCTGTCATTTCTATTTAATAGGCAATTTGTATGTTTTGTTTGCCTCAAAGACAAAAGGTTTGCCTGCGTTGTAATTGTATTCTTTTTCTTTTTTTTTAATATTTTATTTATTTATTTATGTGTATGAGTGCTCTCTCTACATGTACACCTGCATGCCAGAAAAGGGCATAGATCCTAGTATAGATGGTTGTAAGCTGCCATGTCGTTGCTGGGAATTGAACTCAGGATCTCTGGAAGAGCAGACAGTGTTCTTAACTGCTGAGCCATCTCTCCAGCCCCTGTATTCTTTATTTGTTTCTCATGCTTTCAACCATGTCATTCCTCTGGGGTCTAAGTAAATCAGTCTCAGCCTGAAATTGTCCACAGCTTTCCTTGGCTTTCTTTCTACTGATATGAAGATATTTCTTCTCTAAGCAAAGCCATAGGTATAGACCAGCTTTAAATAAAATTTTTGTGCATAATTCCCATAGTAACAAAATTCATCAGTTTGGTCTGAAGAAAGATTGTTCCCTTCTGGTAATGAACAGAATTATGGCTGCTGACCCTGAGTAAGTAATGAACAGTGTTGTGGCTGGTGAGCATGTTCAGCTAATGAACAGTATTGTGTGGTCACCATGAACAGGTAATGACCAGTGTTGTGTGGTGACCACGTTCAGGTAATGAACAGTGTGTGACAAGTGACTATGTTCAGGTAGTGACCAGTGTGTGACTGGTGACCATGTTCAGGTAATGAACAGTGTGTGGCTGGTAAACATGTTCAGGTAAAAAACAGTGTGTGGGGGATTCGACAAGATGGCGGTGCCAGGAGAACACTCCGTCGGAGAAGCAGGACAACATTTTCCATACAGTGACCAAGAGACTGAACTCTGGGCCCTAAAACAACAGCGATCGTGTTTCCCAGATGAGAGGTTTCCCAGGTGACCACTCTCAGGTCACCCAGCCAGAACCCAGAAGAGATCCTGGGTGGCACAGGCACTAGGTTGCCAGACCAAAGCAACAGGCCTGCGTGTCCTGATCACCTTTCCAGGCTGAATGGTGAGCACAAATACATCAGAGACTCAGAGTCCCAGTCGCAAGAAAAACCCACAGGGAAGGAAGGAAGGAAACGGGACTGGCCTCGGGTCACCCAGTCTTTCCCTGGAAGAGGTCTCACAGAATGGCGGGTATGCGCCTCCAGCACTGAACTGGGCTCCAGCTGCGAGCACAGAGACTTCCTGCCTGCCCAGCTCTCCGTCACACACAGAGCTGTGCGCCCCAAAGCAACAGAGACTGGGTTTCCCTGTCAGGAGAAAACTCCACAGGGAAGGAAGGAACAGGGACAGACTTAGGCCACCCAGTCTATCCCTGGAAAAGGTCCCACAGACCAGCGTGCCTGCCAACCCAGGGACCTGCTGTGCACCAGCTAGCCTGCTGCTCCCAAGAGAGCAGTACTCACCGGCCACTGATTACCGCTTGGGTACTGGGGCACAGAGCCCCAACCTCAGACCTACAGAAGCCTAGGGTCCCTGAGATCAACCCCCAGATACTGCTCCAAGGGGCAACCCCTTATCCCTAACAAAACTGACCAAACCACGGAACACCCAGGTTACAGCAGCAGCTCACTAAATTTATAGCAAGAAACCCAGAAGCAGGGCAGCTGTCTCCAGGACTTCCCCGGGTGAGAGGATAACCCTCTTGACTAACAAGGACCACAGTTACCACTCAGGTCTGTATGCCTGAGGTGAGCTATGGCAACTCCTGAAAAACACCAGCCATTCAGTGACCATACCAAAAAAGCTGAGGAGTCTTCCTTCAGGAAAAAGCATGGCAAACCCATGAGACTCACAGAGACTATGAAAGCCAGAAGGGCCTGGACGGATATCATGCAGACCCTAAGAGAACACAGATATCAGCCCAGGTTACTATACCCAGCAAAACTCTCAGTCCTCATAGACGGAGAAAACAAGATATTCAATAACAAAAACAAATTTCAACAATACCTACACACAAATCCAGCATTACAGAAGACATTAGAAGGGAAAATACAACCCAAGAAAACTAGCTACTTTCAAGAAAACACAGGAAATGATTAACCTCACTACAGTAAAACAAAAAAACAACCAAGCACACAAACTTATGATCACAGCCAACATCAAAATCAAAGGATCTAACAGCCACTGGTCATTAATCTCTCTCAACATCAATGGACTCAATTCTCCAATAAAAAGTCACAGACTAACAGAATGGATGCTTAAACAAGACCCAGCAATCTGTTGCATACAAGAAACACACCTAAATCACAAAGATAGACATTACCTGAGGGTAAAGGGCTAGAAGATGGCTTTCCAAGCAAATGGACCCAAGAAGCAAGCAGGAGTAGCCACTCTAATATCTGATAAAAATAGACTTTCAACCAAAATTAATCAAAAGAGATGGGGAAGGACACTTTATACACATCAAGGGAAAATTCCACCAGGAAGACATCACAATCCTGTACATCTATGCCCCAAATACAAGGGCACCCACATTTGTAAAAGAAACATTGATAAAACTTAAACCACATATATATATCCCCACACATTAATAGTGGGAGACTTCAACACCCCACTCTCAACAAAGGACAGGTCAACAAAACAGAAATTAAACAAAGAAACAATGTCTCTAACAGAGGTCATGAATCAAATGGACCTCACAGATATTTACAGAACCTTACACCCTAACACAAAAGAATTTACTTTCTTCTCAGCACCTCATGGAACCTTCTCCAAAATAGACCACATAGTTGGTCACAAAGCAAGCCTTAACAGATACAAGAAGATTGAAATAATCCCTTGTATCCTGTCTGATCACCATGCAATAAAGCTGGACCTCAACAACAACAGGAATAGCAAAAAGCCTACACACACATGGAAACTGAACAACTTGCTACTAAATGACAGCTGGGTCAGGGAAGAAATAAAGAAAGAAATTAAAGTCTTCCTAGAACTCAATGAAAATGAAGACACAACATACCCAAACTTGTGAGACACAATGAAAGCAGTGCTAAGAGGAAAGTTCATAGCACTAAGTGCCTACAAGAAGAAATTCGAGACATCTCATTCAAGAAACTTAATGGATCACCTAAAAACCCTAGGAAAAAAAGAAGCAGACACACCAAAAGGGAGTAGATAACTGGAAATAATCAAACTCAGGGCTGAAATCAATCAATTAGAAACAAATAAAACAATTCAAAGAATCAACGAAACCAAGAGCTGGTTCTGTGAGAAAATCAACAAGATAGACAAACCCTTAGCCAAACTAACTTAAAGGCAGAGAGACACCACCCAAATCAACAAAATCAGAAATAAAAAGGGGGACATAACTACAGACACTGAGGAAATCCAAACAATCATTAGGACTTACTTCAAAAGTCTATATGCCACAAAATTTGAAAATCTAAATGAAATAGACAATTTTCTTGATCTATTCCACTTACCAAAGCTGAATCAAGACCAGGTAAATCAATTAAATAGTCCTATATCCCCTAAGGAAATAGAAGCAGTCATCAAAAGTCTCCCATCCAAAACAAGCCCAGGGCCAGATGGTTTCAGCACAGAATTCTACCAGACCTTCAAAGAAGAGCTAACTCCAGTTCTCTTCAAACTTTTCCACAAAATAGAAACAGAAGGAACACTACCAAATGCATTCTATGAAGCCACAGTCACCTTGGTACCTAAACCTCACAAAGACTCAACAAAGAAAGAGAATTTCAGGCCAATCTCCCTTATGAACATTGATGCAAAAATACTCAACAAAATACTTACAAACCGAATACAAGAACACATCAAAGATATCATCCACTATGACCAAGTAGGCTTCATCCCAGGTATGCAGGGGTGGTTCAATATATGGAAATCCATCAATGTGATCCACCATATTAACAAACTGAAAGAAGAAAACCACATGACAATCTCCTTAGATGCTGAAAAAGCATTTGACAAAAATCCAACATCCATTCATGTTTAAAGTATTAGAGAGATCAGGGATACAAGGCACATATCTAAACATAGTAAAGGCAATATACAGCAAGCCTATAGCCAACATCAAACTACACAGAGAGAAACTTAAAGCAATCCCACTGAAATCATGGACAAGGCAAGGCAGCCCATTCTCTCCATATCTCTTTGACATAGTTCTGGAAGTCCTTGCTAGAGTAATAAGACAGTTGAAGGAGATCAATGGGATACAAATTAGAAAGGAAGAAGTCAAATTATCACTATTTGCAGATGATATGATAGTATACCTGAGTGACCCCAAAAATTGGTAGCAAGGAACTCCTACAGCTGATAAAATCCTTCAGCAAAGTGGTCGGATATAAAATTAACTTAAAAAAAATCAGTAGGCCTCCTGTATACCAAAGACAAAAGGGCTGAGAAAGATATTAGGGAAACAACACCCTTCACAACAGCCACAAATAACATAAAGTACCTTGGTGTAACTCTAACCAAGAAAGTCAAAGACTTGTATGAAAAAATGTCAAGTCTCTGAAGAAAGAATTAGAAGAAGCTATCAGAAGATGGAAAGATCTCCCATGTTCATGGCTTGGCAGGATTATTATAGTAAAAATGGCCATCTTACCAAAAGCAATCTACAGATTCAATGCAATTCCCATCAAATTACCAACACAATTCTTTACAGACCTTAAAAGAAAAATTCTCAACTTCATATGGAATAACAAGAAACCCAGAATTGCTAAAACAATTCTCTACAATAAAAGATCTTCTGGAGGTATCTCCATCCCTGATCTTAAGCTGTACTATAGAGCAACAGTTATAAAAACTGCATGGTACTGGCATAGAAACAGAATGGTGGATCAATGGAACCAAATAGAAGACCCAGAAATAAACCCACACACTTATGGACACCTGATCTTTGACAAAGATGCCAAAAAAAGATAGCATCTTCAACAAATGGTGCTGGTCTAACTGGATCTCTATATGTAGAAAAATGCAAATAGATCCATACTTATCACCCTGCACAAAACTAAAGTCCAAGTGGATCAAAGACCTCAACATAAAACCAGACACATTAAATTGGTTAGAAGGAAAAGTGGGGAAGACCCTAGAACTCATTGGTACAGGAGACAACTTCCTGAACAGAACACCAACAGCACAGGCTCTAAGAGAAACAATCAATAAATGGGACCTCATGAAACTGAAAAGCTTCCAAAGTAAAGCAAAGGACACCGTTATCCAAACAAAATGACAGCCTACAGATTGGGAAAGAATCTTCACCAACCCTCTATCTGACAGAGGGCTAATGTCCAGTATATATAAAGAACTAAAGAGGCTGAAAAGCAACAAACCAAGTAATCCAATTAAAAAATGGGGAACAGAGCTAAACAGAGATTTCTTGATAGAGGAATATTGAATGGCAGAGAAACACTTAAGAAAATGCCCAACCTCATTAGCCAATAGGGAAATGCAAATCAAAACGATCCTGAGATTTCACCTTACACCCATCAGAATGGCCAAGATCAAAAACTCAAGTGACAGCACTTGAGGTTGTGGAGAAAGGGGAATCCTCCTCCACTGCTGGTGGGAATGTAAACTTGTACAACCACTCTGGAAATCAATCTGGCACTTTCTCAGACAACTAGGAATAGTGCTTCCTCAAGATCCAGATATACCACTCCTAGGCATATATCCAAAAGAGGCTCAAGTACACAATAAGGGTATTTGCTCAACCATGTTTATAGCAGCTTTATTTGTAATAACGAGAAGCTGGAAACATGCCCCAGATGACCCTCAATACAGAACATGCCCCTGGATACAGAAATTGTGGTACATCTACACAATGGAATATTACTCAGCAATGAAAAACAAGGAAATCATGAAATTTGCAGGTAAATAGTGGGAACTGGAAAGGATCATCCTGAGTGAGCTATCCCAGAAGCAGAAAGACACACATGGTATATACTCACTCATATAAACATATAATATAGGATAAAGATACTAAAATCTGTACACCTGAAGAAACTAATCAAGAGGGAGGACTCTGGCTAAAATGTTCAATCCCCATCCTGAAAGGCAAAGAGAATGGACATCAGAAGAAGAAGAAAACAGGAAACAAGTTAGGAACCTGACACAGAGGGCCTCTGAAAGGCTTTGACCTGCAGACTATCAAAGCAGATGCTGAGACTTATGGCCAACTGTTGGGCAGAGTGCATGGAATCTTATGAAAGAAGTGGGAAATAGTAAGAGCTGGAGAGGACAGAAGCTCCACAAGGAGAACAACAGGACCAAAAAATTTGAACACAGGGGTTTTCCAGAGACTCATACTCCAACCAAGTACCATGCATGGAGATAACCTAGAACCCCCACAGATGTAGCCCATGGCCGTTCAGTGTCCAAGTGGGTTCTATAATAATAGGAACAGGAACTGCTTCTGACATAAACTGATTAGCCTGCTCTTTGATCACCTCCCCCTGACGGGGGAGCAGCCTTACCAGGCCACAGAAGAAGACAATGCAGCCACTCCTGATGAGATCTGATAGACTAGAATCAGAAGGAAGGGGAGGAGGACCTCTTCTATCAGTGGACTTGGGGAGGGGCAGCATGGAGAAGGGGGAGGGAAGGTGGGATTAGGAAGGGAGGAGGGAGAGGTTTATGGGGGGATACCAAGTGAATAAAGTGTAATTAATGAAAGTTAATATAAAAAATAAAAAAGAGAATAGTTGTAAATTATACCATAATAAGATTTCCATGAATGAGAAAGAACAGAAACAGCGCGTGACTGGTAAACACGTTCAGTTAATGAGCAGTGTTGGTGGTGACGGCGTTTACGTAATGAACAGGGTTAGACACGCTCAGGTAAAGAACGTGGTATGTGGTGACCGTGCTCAGGTATGGAACATGATTGTGGCTGATGACCGTGTTCAGACAATGAACAGTGGTATACGGTGACCTCGTTCGGCTAATGAAGAGTGCGTGACTGGTGACCATGCTCGGGTAGTGAACGGTCTTTTGGCTGGTGACCATGTTCAGGTAATCGAAAGTGTGGGACTGTTGTCCATGTTCAGGTTATGAACAGTATTGTGACTGCTGACGACATTCAGGTAAAGAACAGTGTTGATGGTGACCATGTCAGGTAATGAACAGTTTTGTGGCTGTTGACCACGTTCAGGCAATGAAGAGTGTTTTGTGGTGACCACGTTCAGGCAATGAAGAGTGTTGTAGCTCGTGACTGTGTTTAATCAGTGCTCCCTTGCTTGAAATAGAAACTGTTTTTGTTTTTTTTTTAATTTAATTCATAGAAGGAACTGCACTTGTGTAATTACATTGGAAGGATTGCGGCATAAATATTTTCTTGAGGACTAGAAATCAGAGTGACTGGCTTATTCAACCTAATCACCAAGGAAGAGAGTCTTGGTGTGGAATTTTCGGGACCAGGTTGGCCTGTGGACACATCTTGATTGTCTGATATCATGTGGGAAGCCCAGCCTGAACGTGGGCAGGATCATTCCCTGGTCTGGTCACTGACTGAACTCTATCATCAGCTTGAGCACTAGCCATGTATTCTGTCTGCTCTCGACTGGAGATGTCACAGGACAGGAGCCGTCTCAAGCTCAGCCTGCAGTGACGCACTGTAACCAAGAATTGTGACCTAAAACAAAGCCTTTCTTCCCTACGTTGCTTTTTCTCTCATACAGTCCCAGCAACAAAAGGAAACTAGGACAGAAATTAGTACCAAGGGAGTGAGGTCCCTGCTGCAGTTAAACTGTGTTGGGGGCTAGAGCGATGATGGCTGGGTCGGGAAGAGCCTTGGACTCTCTTGCAGAGGACCTGGGTGCAGTTCTGGCTTGCAGTGAATGGTAACTCACAAGCGTCTGTAATTCCAGTTCCGGGGAGCCTGATGCCCTCTTTTGAATCCTCGGGGCACCAGGCACGCAGGCGATGCACGTCGGTGCATCCAGGCAAAGCATTCATACATATGAAACAAAATAACTCTAAAAAGGAAAGTTTAAACTGAGCATGTTGTTTTATACTTTTGGGCTGTTTTGTGGGAGAAATGTGGGTGCTTTTGATACACGGATCTAGGAAAGCCGCCGCAAGCTGGAAACATTTTGACGGGGCAATCTAGTGGGAGCTTGGAGAATAGTAAGCATCTATTAACTTATTTAATCATCTACCAAAGACCAGACACTGCACGTGGGTCAGAGGGAGAGATAAGTGCCATGAACACAAAAGGTGTGGAAAGAGGTACACAGATTTCCATCCCTTTTTTTTACCTTTTGCTTGTTGTTTTTTCTTTTATCCGTGCTGGCTAGACACTCATATCTGATGTCTAGTTTGTTAGTTATTTTGCTCATGGTTTGAGGTCATACACCCGTCCTTGTAGGAAGGCTTCCAGTGGGAATGCGCGATAGCTGTGGAAGAAACGCTCCGCTGGCTGCTTTCTTCTTTCCCTGGTTCTATTACCCGGGGACAGCCAGCGTGTGTAGTGGTGCCATTCTCATTCCCTGCTTACCCACATTCCCTAGAAACACCCTTCTCAACACACCCAGAGGTGTGCCTCCAGGCCATTCCAAGTCCAGTCAAGAGCTGACATTTGACCTCAACACACTTTTCTGAAGATTGGACACTACACCCACACCAGATCTGGCCTGGACACAATAATAGTAATAGCAATAGAAACATGATTACTACTGCTGCTACTAACGTTTTTAACAGTAGTGTCTTACTGAACTGTGGCTAGAGGAGTATAAACTGTGCATAGTGAATAACCTATCGCATAAGTTGCTGCAGTTACTTAAGCAATCAGATTTCTCTCCAATTATTTTCAAGAGACCTAAGAACACATTCCATTTCTTTACAGGGACTCACCAGACTGAGGCTTTACAAGAACTTTGTTTTGGGCTGGTGACAGCCCTCGGACAGGGCTTTCCAGGGCTGCGGTGCAGGGCAGGTTATTGAATTTGCTTGGTGTCTCGTTCCTCTCCAGGGCTGCGGTGCAGGGCAGGTTACTGAATTTGCCTTGTGTCTCGTTCCTTTCCAGGGCTGCGGTGCAGGGCAGGTTACTGAATTTGGTTGGTGTCTCATTCCTCTCCAGGGCTGCGGTGCAGGGCAGGTTACTGAATTTGGTTAGTGTCTCATTCCTCTCCAGGGCTGCGGTGCAGGGTAGGTTACTGAATTTGGCTAATGGTGTCTCACTCCTCTCCAGGGCTGCGGTGCAGGGCAGGTTACTAAATTTGGTTGGT